TCTATCTCACCGACGTATCCCATCGATGACACTGTTAATTGCACTCTCTGTCCCCGTTTGCCTCCGGTGAAACACATTAGTCCTTACCGCCGCGACAGATGCTCTCTAACGGTGAATTAATGGTATTGCAGAGATTGGTCGCCGAGCTGAACAGAGAACAGGAGGCTTTCATTGCGAACAAGCACACCGAAAAGGGTGAGGCCGTCGCACCGTGGGTCGGCGCGCCTAACGAGGACATACTCCGCGAGGAATGCTTATCTCTCTCCATGGTGAGTAATTCCTCCTTTCTATTCGTGGAACACGCAGAACAGAAGAGGGAGAGAACGACGAGGATCGTCGTCGTCGTCGTGGTCGTCGTGCTAGAGAGTGCTTCGCGCAATTGGATTCTCACGTTGGACGCACAATGGCCTTTTCATCGTCACGCGTTTCCAACGAATATTATCTCGCGTGTGTTTCGTGAAAGCGTTCGCGACAAGTGTATCAAATCTCCCAGAGATTTTATTTACCCGAGGATCAAATTCGATATTGGATATTACATGATATGGGCTTTGATTTGAACGCTGTTGTAAATAGATAATTAGATTAATTTATAAATTAACTTGTTACTTGTCGAAGATTTTATATTCGATATTCTCTTTAGTTCTGATATATGTATGTATATAGATAAATATGAGTGTTTAAGATTTTTGTGAATTAATGATATGATGTGAATGATATATTACGGACAAGTTCTCGAAGTGATCGTGAATAAAATTTTGATTCGTGATTCCATTGGATAAATATAATTTTTCGGATATCTTTCTAGTATAATAAAATATTATTTTTATTAAAATTAATCAATTTTAAATGAATCCAAGATATTTCTTATCGCGATATACATATATATATATATCGTAACAAGCAAGCACGATCAATGTCAAGATAAGATATAAATTGTTCTTTGTTAATTAGAGTTGAAGAGATCGTATCGCGATTAGGAACGGTGGTTGAAGACCACAATTGGATTTCTTCCGGCCAATAAAGTATTCCATTAAGAATCGTATCGATCGTCTTTTAATTGCGGCTTCTTGGAACAAACGGTGTTAAAGATATATCCCGATCGTGATTAACGATCAACGATCAACGTTCAATTTCACGAAATCTCAATCTTGTTTTGAAACGCAAAAGAATTTGGAAAAATTGATTTCAGGATCAACGCAATTTCTTAAAATCCCCGCCAAAGGAAGTCGATTTCCCATGGGACTTTGAGGCCGTACAACCGATGGCGCAAGCAACTCTCGCCTTGGATCCGAATTTGGAGAACATGAGGTTCCAACTGGTGCCGAAAGTGTAAGTAGTTTCGTTCAATTATCGTTTAATAATCCTCAGCTGTTTTGGAAATTGCAATTAAAATCGCTCGTTCGTAAACTTGGGGAAAATTGAATTCATTATTTTTAGTAATTAGATTTAGAAAAAAAAATCTTATGTTTAGACTTAATTACAATCTCTCGAATTCAAATCTCTTCGATTACATTTTATCCTAATGGTTTCAAAAATCTTTACAAAATCTAGAATTTCCTTCCAATTCTAAAGATAATCAAACTTACAAATTTCCAGAAACTCGTATTCGCAATAATAGCATAATAACTATTTCACTACAAGATTAATTTCCATTAAAATTATTAATTAAAAACAAACCACTTTCTTCCAAACATCTCGTCCCCTTCAATAGCCATGTTTATCACACGCAATAATCGTCAATCATCTCAAGATCGATGCGTAATGCACTCGAATCAATTATTTAGCCACGATTTAAGTTAAATGAATCCGCGATGGATGGGATTAATTGGCAAAATTTCGAATCTACTGTGCTTGCAATCTGTCTATGGTTATTAATCCGCGACACCGTATTGCACAGAATATCAGAGGAGAATTTCTGGCGGAACTACTTTTACCGGGTGTCGGTACTCCGCCAGAGCCACGAGCTGAACACAATGGCCAACCAGGCGGAAAACAACCTAAATCAAACATCCGCAGGAACTGTGGATCAAGCTGAAGGTAATTCTGAAACCTCTGAACAAACAATTTTTCCCGCTTTTTATTATATCGTTTTCTTTTCTTTTCTAATTTTTTAATCAATCACCATCACTATCAATTATTCGTTCGATTGCGATAAAATGGATATAGTTGTTGGACTCCTCCTCGTTCGACCTTTTCTTTCCATTCACAAAAGTGTTTCTTTTCCAACTTTGAAACGTCTTCGTTGCCCGTCGAAGGAAAGTTTCATCAAGTTTCATCGAATGAACGCATCCAGTAGTTGTTTCTTTCTTTCTTTTTTTTTTTTTTTTTTAATGTATTCTCGTTTCTCCCCCCTTTCGATGGGTTTTACGTTGTGACGAGAGGGAGTGGATCGAAGGTAAGTCGAGTTCGTCGATTCATCGCGATCCTGGAATGTGGAACGTTCGCATTTTCATCTCGAAAGCAACGGAGATGTTTTAAAATGGGCGAAACACGATGCAAACGATCGATGATCGATAATTCGAAGTTGTTGCACAGATCGTAACTTTAATAGATTCTCGTTAACCGTGAGATTGATAGTCGGAGGGATAAAGGGACGGATGTTGGACGTTACATTATTCAGAGGACGAAGGGGTCGAGGCTCGTCGATCCCAGCCACCAGAGTTAAATGAAATTCATATTTCATATTCCCGGAGATAGATTTCTCGGATTAACTGATCAAATTTTTATCTCGCGTGAAACAGAGCTAGAAAAATAGATCCTGATTCTTCTTAAATCGTATCGATCAGATATTTTCCTCTCTCTCTTCTCTTACGCTTCTAAATATATTATTATTTAGAATCGTAAAAAAAGAATTTTATTCCATATTTGAATAATTTCTACACTCGCGTCGTTACTACCATAATGCATAATTCATGAACGAAACAGGCTTTGCAGAACAACAGAATCGAAATCGTAGGATTTTATTCGCCGCGTAAAAGTCACGCATGAGGGATAAAAAAAAAAGAGGGGGAGGAAGGGAAAATGGGGGAAAAACCGATACAAAGCATGGAAGATATCGCAATATTCAATATTGCCAGCCATCGACGTCACTTTACGAACAAGGTCGAACGTGGAGGCAACGTGTGGATCGTGCATACACACAAACTCCACCTTTTCCGGTTGTTTTCCCGGATTTGTGTGTGTGTACGTGCACGTCTCTTACTTAGTTTGCATCACGATTTCGAGTACGCTTGACTCGACGTCCTCCCTCGACGGTGTTGCTCGAAAAATAGCACGTAATAATTTTCGATTTCCGCCGAGGCGAGAAGATTTTTTTTTTTTTTCTCCATCGATTCGTCGTCGCGGTGATGCACGACGTGAACATCGAGACGAATGGATGAAAGGAAAAGAGAAGTCGTGCAACATCGTTCACGATCGATTCGACGTTCTCCGAGATGAGATACCTCCTGCATGGCACAATTTCGAGTTTTACGCCACGTGTTCAGATTCATCGAACAACGTGCTGATGGATCCTCCGAAATCGTTTAATCCACGGATTTTCGTTTTGGTGGAAAATTTGTATACAAAGTTTGGAAAGATACAATTCAGACGAGAAAAAGTATCTTCGATGTATTTTACGGAAAGCGAACCGATAAAATAATTGTTCGCGTTCATTTGTGGTTTAGAAGAAGAAGATAGAGTGAAAAATCGTACACATCAACAATTAAGAAGTATACTCTAATGGATACTTTTCCAAGTGTACCCGCATTGATGGAAATAAATTATCGTAGGATGAAAAATATCGTTCCATCGGTGTATCGTGTCCCTGTCCATCGTCAAAATTATAAACGACGCGTTAATTCACGGTGGAACGACGATAATGTTGTGAAATACGAACACGTTTCGGCGATATTCGAAAATCGATCCTGTCAGCACGTTGAAAGAGTTTTCGGAAAAAATACGAATCCGTTGGTCGGCCTCGAAATCTGTAAGATAGGGACAAACAAGCAATGAGAATTTCATCTCAAGGAAGATGGACGAATAACGGATAAAACGAGATGAAATGGGAGAACAGCTTGTGGGAGAAGAGGTGAACGATCGGTGAAACTCCCTGTCTGATCCCGAGAATGATCGCCCGTGAATGAGAATTCGAAGCTATCTTCCAGAGGCTGTTCATCCCTCCCCTCTCCACACCATCTCCTCCTCTCTTTCGTGAAATGAGAATTCGATTCCGGCCAACGCTCGCCGCGGTTTCAACGACTTCCGTTTGTTCGTGAACCGGATGATTGCGAGAAGAGATGTTTAACGCCCTGGCGTCTGGTTGAGTCGTGCTTGAAATTCGATGATTTCGTTGGAATTCGATTTGATACTTGTGCACAGTATATATATATATATATATATATCCCTGTTTCACGAAGCTTCTTAATTTCTTCTTAATTTTTCCTTGATTATTTTTCTTTTCTTTCTTCCTTCTTTTTTCTTTTCTTTTTTTTTTTTTTTTTAATGAAACGTAATTTTAGAATTAAAATTTTAGAATTAGTGAAGGCGAGGAAAAGTAGCGGCTTTTTTGTATTGGTTCGAATCACAATGAATCGCATCGCATAAATCGCACGAATTTAGAGAATTCGAAAAAGAAAGAAAGAAAGAAAGAAAGAAAGAAAGAAAGAAAAAGGAAAAACGAGCTGTAAATATAAAATAGAAGCGTAGTAGAAGCTTTTTAGCGTTAGGCCGGTACCCGTCCCTTCTAGTTTAGCCGTGAGTGTTGTCTTGCGAACAGTTCAAGTGACCACTGGCCAGGAAAGCAGCGGAACCGTGATGACCGGGAGTAACAGCGCGTTGGCCGATTCGCCGGGCCACGAATTCGTGTCCGATAGCATGAGGGTCTCGGACACGGACCTCGAAGAGGTCCGGGAAGGCATGAAAAAACTGGGGATGCAGCCGCCTAAAGGTTAGTTGATCGTTGGTCGTCGTTAACTTGCCGCCAATTTGTAGCTACGGGATATATACGGAACACGATGGAACGCGTGATCTTGATAACTCGTGGCGTGTTGTGGTCGGATGATTTGTTCGATGGATATAAAAGTAGCAGAAAAATGAAAAAAAAAAAAAAAAAAAAAAAAAAAAAAAAAAAAAAAGAGAAGATACGAATCACTGTATGCTTCCATTCGATTCGTGGATCGATCGATCTATTCTTGAAAACAATAATCCGCACCTGTGCGGGCACAGGTCGATTCGAAATTGTTGTGTACACACACATATATACACGTACACATGTATATATATATATATCTCTGCCGATTAGTTTTAATGGAAAGTAAAGTTAAAGCGCGTGTTGTTCCGTTACGACCACCAACGAAATTTCTGAACAATGGATACGTATATGTATATATATATATATATATAAAATATACGTTCGAAGAGGAACGAGTTCTCATTTTGTTTCCCTCGTTTCCCACGACCTCGATGAATATTTATCACGGACGGGTGAAAGTGCAAAATTCGCATCGTGATTATTACGAATTCATAATGTTTAATTCATAATGTCGAATTATTAGTTAGGTTAGATATAAAAAGTGCGAAGACGAAAGAAAATAAACTTCGATCGATTTGAGGAAAATGGGGAGGAGGGGTAAAGAGGGGAAGAAAAAGGGAAGTAAAGTTCCTCTTGGATCGAGCGATCTATGACCAAAGACACAAAGGTGTGTCCAAGAAAACACATCCCTCGTGAGTATACTCGTTAAATGAACGTCAAAATTAAAAAAAATCGATCTGTCGATGTTTCCACCTTTCTTTTCACCAGCGTTCAGCTAACCACGTTTTTGTCACGTTTGTAGTTTGTGTGTGTAGTTTTCGTTTCGCTCTATCTTTTTTTCTTTTTTTTTTTTTCTTTTTCAAATCTTTATTTATTCTCCATTTTTTCGTGCGAGTAGAACGTTTTTCCAACTTTTCTACCTTATAAATGTGTGCTTCAATCATTCTTATATATTCGTTACAGTAGGAATTGCTCGTATACGATGTGCAACCTTCCACGTCTATTTTATTTATATTCGTATATAATATATTCCTCGAGAGAAAGAATATCTTCCATTTCTCGTTTCTATGTTTGAACCCTTGCTCGCCTCTCGTCTGACTTTTATGATGCCTGATGTGACTAAACGACCGCTTTTCCATTCTATTCTGTCAACAGCCTAAGAAGAGGAGAATCCCCCCGATATAAAAGCATTATCCAAAGCACACCCCTCAGAAATAAATACGACAAGCTTCTTTCCCCGTCTCGAAGGCCGACGTTGAGCTTTTCGGTTCTCGTCCACAATTTCCTCCTACCCTCCTTCTCTTTTTTTTTCACTTTTCTTATTTTTCTTCTTCTTCTTCTTCTTTTTATTCGTTCCTCGCTAGGTTAATCCCCGTAAAATAACCATAATTAGAGTGTGAATGCGAGGATGTTCTCACGGGACGAACGATCCTCGTTGTTTTTTTTTTTTTTTTTTTTTTGCTTCCTTGTATTTTGCTTTCTCTCTCTCGTAACGTAATCCTTTCAAGTGTCTCTCGGATTTTTTTATTCATTTTATTTTATTTTATTTTTTTCCATTATCGTCTCCCGAATCCCGATAAGAGATCGACAAGATGCCACCCGTGCCACGCGTGTAACAATCGATCGACGATGTTAGGGGTAGTTTTTCGTTATCGTTGCTATCGTTATCCGCCGATATCGTTTGCCGTCGATTGTGTCGTCGTCACCGCCTCGATTCACGCGAGACAGTGATGTGGGATCATCCCTGTTTTATTTTTTTTCTTTCTTTTTTTTTTTTTTTCTCCCTCCCCCGGAGACAATAGATTTGCGCTCGAGAAAGAAAAGAGAGAAAAACGAGAGAGGAAAGAGATAGAGAGAGGGAGAGGTGGGGAATAGACGAAGAAAATAAACTAAATAATAAGTAGCTTTTCTTTTTTTTTTTTTTTTTGTTTATAAAGAAAGAGACACGTCGGATTTTGAAACGTGATAAGAAACAACGCGTAAAAATCGATGATAGCGAGTAGTGACACGCGATTAATGATATGTATACTGAGGGGAGAGCAAGAGAAAGAGAGAGAGAATGAATGAATGAATGAATGAATGAATGCTAATAAGAGAAAGTGAGAGAGAGAAAGAAATTGTAAGAATGTAATAGATGCGCGAGGAAGCGAGGAGAAGCTTCTTTCGAGAAAAAAACGTGATGTAGAAGATGAAATAAAAAGAGGAAAAAAAAAAATCTTTGGTAAAAAATGAAAAGACGAATACAAAAAAAAGAGAAAATATATATATATATATAATATATATTAATATATATATATATATAAAACGCAGAAGAAAAATCTTGTAAAATCACACGAGCAAAGATAAAAAAAAAAACTCGATTAAATGTCTGTATGTCTGTCCGTTTGTCTGTCGTCTGTCTGTCTTCGTTCTTAATTAATAAATATTGTCTCTTGTCGATTCTTTCCGTGTTGTAAAACGTTAAGGAAATATTAAAACACATAACACGAGAGAAAGAGGGAAAAAAACCAATAAAGAAAGGGAGATGTAAAAATGAAGTGGAAAGAAGAGAAAAGAGGTAGGAAATAAATAAAATGTGAATTTTAGAGGGGAAGGACGACGCGAAACTATGACTCTGACTCTTGGGGAAAAATATTCGATGCGCGATCGAAAATGATTTTCCAAAATAGAGAAAATAAGAAAAAAGAATAAATAGTCAGACGAAAGAAACTTACCTGCTAATCAGTATCTTCTTTAAAAAAAAAAAAAGAAAGAAAGAAAGAAAGAAAGAAGAAAGAATTAAAAAGTCGGGATAAAAAGGATAGAAGAGAAGACAGAAAGAAAAGGCACGGAAAAGAATTTACTAAATATTACCGTAAAAAAAGAAATAAAAGAAAGAGTAAGATATAAAATTCGTTGAATGACAATACATGTTTTAAAAGAAAATAATTAAAAAAAAAAAAAAAAGAAATAAAGAAAACTAAATAAAATAAATAAAACGGGAATCGAGGTGTAACTTTCATCTCGTCTCTCGTGGGTATAGTCCTCATAGTGATTTTCCTTCCAATTCAATTAAACATAAATTTAACAAAGAGAGTTATGCAACAAATTCACGGTAAAAAAAAAAAAAAAAAAAAAAGAAACGAACGACCGGGGGCGATCCGTTTACACGCCCGTCCACTGGAACAAACTTCAAAAATCGTTGTAGAATAAGAAAAAAGAGAAATAATTATAGAGATAAAAGTTGAAGGAAGAAGGGGAGGGGGGAGAAAATTCTTTTCTTTAATCGAGAAAAACAAAAAAAAAAAAAGAAAAAAAGGACGACGACAACTGGAGAAGAAAATCGTAAATGATTACAGAGACGAAATAAATGCGAGAAATAAATTAATTTATACGTTTTCTGTATATCTCTGGGCGGACGCTTAAGCGGTGTAAACGAGCACGAGAAAATCCGCACGTGCACCGGTGCACCTGATTTCGAAATGAATAAAATGGGGAAAAGTGGATAAAGAGAAACACGAAGGGAAAAAAAAAGTACGATAGAAACAAATCGACAAAGGAAAAAAAGTAAAAATAATAGAAACGACTGGCTGGTAACGCGCGAAGTCTCGATATACCAACACTCGCGAGACTATCGACTAGATTTGACATGGAGAGCGCGTGTAAAGACGAATCGATATACACACGTACACATACACGCAGAGTAGAGTTCGTAGAGGAAGAGATAGAATATATGTGTGAGAAAGAAAGGACGAGTATCGGGCTGTCGGTGAAAAATTCGGTTGGCACGATTTTTCTCAGTTCGACGCGTGAATATAATTTATATACATATTAAAAACTAATAATAATAATAATAATAATAATAATAATAATAAAAATTAGATGATACGAGCTTCGGAACGAATTTAAACATGGAAACGACGATAATAATTAATGTGCAGACTGCAAGACTGCAAGTGGAACTTTTGGACAAGCGAAAGATTGGATTGAGTTTCGCGAGAAAATTATTTTAGGGAAATTTCCCAAGTCAAATTCAAACGACTCGAGACCGTAATTAGCTTAATCGCATTAAGGTGGAAGGAGAGTTTATTCGCGGCTCGATCGATCGAGTCGGACGCGTTTCTCTCGCGTTTCGCGCAGAACGAAACTTCCGGTCCCAACGCCGTTCCTGTTTTTTCGCCAATAGATATATCGCGATTATTCGCGCGCGAGAAACGATTTCATCGAAGGAGAGAGAATGATCGAAGAGAGAAGAAGAGATTCGAGAGAACGAAAGAGAGAGAGAGAGAGAAGAGAGAGAGTTGGAATAGCTTCGCGACGAGATCTCGATTTATTATAACGAGAAAAATAGAATGTTCGCGGATCCATCAAATCTTCGAGGGGAATATTAATTCAACCGTTGGCGGATGAAGGAGGGAAAAGCGTGGCAAGGCACGCCGGAAAACCCCACCATCTCTCCGGTTCTTCCGTTTTCGCCTTTTCACCCTCCCCTTCTCAGTTCTCTCCATCCTTGCGTGTGATTTGAGTTTTTGCTTCTCTCGCCCTTCGCCCTTCTCCCTCCTCCCGCCTCTTACGATCCTCACCTCTCCCAACTAACACTAACACAGATACACGATTTAATTCTGGCACACGGAGACACACGGACACGAGGCTCTCTCGTCGCGAGATCGATGTGAAGAAACAGGCAGCGAACGCTACATACATGTTGGAAACAGCTCCACTGTACGCGTGGAAAATCTCGATTCGTGAATTTGTAAACACGTAAAAATATACACGTATACACAATAATTTCGAGTAAATCGTACGATGTAGACACATTAAAATACTGACATCACATATAGAATCGAAAAAACGGCACACGAATATATATATAAAACACACACATACACATACACACACACAACATATACATTGACACGCGCCGAACAAGAGGCCGCATGGCCCGCTTGAAACTAGCTACAACGCTACTTGTGAATCTCCAGCAGAGGAAGATTGGGAACGCGAATTGGAAGCGGAGCTGAAGGATTACGAGGTAGTAACAGGTAACGAAGAGAGGAGCAGCGTCGAAACACCGGTGAGAAGCAGTGGCGCGTTGGATAAAGATTGGGAGAAGCAGATCGACGAGCTACTTGCCAACGAGGACGACGAGGACCTCAAGTGAACTGGGATATCCTCTTTGTGAATCGGATAGAGAGGACGATCTTTGTCGCGTTTTGGATCATCCTGCGTTTAAAGGGGACTAGTGTGAGAGATCGCCGGCTGGGATTGTTGTGTGTCTTTCCTCCATCGACTTTCCTCAGCTTCTTTGTAGAGGAATAGAGGGGATGAAAGATTCTCGAAACAGAAGGATCTCGTCTTTCTACCTCCCTTTCCCTTTCGTTCTATCTCTCTTTCGCGGTCGTTGAGACATCGCCATAGCGAGGGAGAAAAGATTTCTTTTTCGAAGAAAAGATTTCTTTTTCGAGACTGCTTGGATGATATAAAAATGTAATAAAGTGTAAGAAAAAAAAAGAAAGAAAGAAAGAAAAAAGAAGGTAAGAAAGAAAGGAAAAAACGTGAGAAAGAATGAGACTATGTTTCGGTACTTCTTTTCTTTTTTTTTTTTTTTTTTGTATTGTTAAAACGATTGTAATTAAGGATAGAGAGATAGAAGAAAGGAAAGGGGTGTTTGAAGAAGAAGACGAAAGGAGCTGTTCCTCGTTTCCTCTTCTATGGGGTACTTTCCTCAACAACGCGTACGTTTGCGATCCTCGAACACGATGAAGATGAGACAAGATTTATAGAGAGAATAAAGGGGAAAAAGAGGAACATTGGGAAAAAGATTGCGATGATTATAAGAATATTATTTTACCGATCGATCTCGCTTCTTTCTTAAACTTTTGTCGATATTTTTCATCCATCGATAATCCTCTGAACGATGGACGGGTGTGCACATAAGATGATACATGCTTTTAATGCCACACTTATGTCAATTGTTAGACTCGTTTATAAGGGCGAATATATAATATTTAAAAAGAATAAAAAAGAAAGAAATTCTGAAGTTTTCCCCTTTGTAATATCGATCGTTGTATTTAATGAACAAAAAAAAAAAACAAAAATAAATAATTAAATAAAAATGTGCTACTTCTAACATGGAGCGTGTTATGTAATGTTACACAAAATGCACTGTGCTACGGAATAAAAATAGAATAAATGAATGGGGAAAAAAGGAATGCTTCTTCATCGAGTTCGAAGGATCGAGGACTATCCGAAGTGACACATTACACTGCCGTGTGCCGAAGGACACCGTTTCGAACGATTATTGTCAACTATTGGCTATATTTTTTCCCCCTAAGAGAAAAAGAAAAAAACAATTTATGATCACGTTTTTCCTTATCGTTATTCGTTGATCGTAGATATTGTTCGCCAAAAATGAATTTGATTCGATGAAAAATCACGAATAGAAAAGAAAAAATTGGTAAAAATCTACGCAGATTATTATTAATTATTATTATTATTAGTATTATTATCAGGCGCATTTGTTAATGTTGCGTCGCTAAAGATACATTTTTTGCGTTAAAATTTGTCTAAATATTTGTTACATGTTGCAATATTTACGCTAATGTCGTTATGCGTATTTTAATATTGATACGCAGTATGTCCACATGACGGAAGGGCTCAAATTATCAATAGAATTAATTAAGAATAAAAACGAATCGATCGATAGGAAACAAACAATTTCTCGACATGATTTTCTGCAACATGCCGTCCAATTATTTCCTCGACTTCGTTGAAAAATCGAGGCGAACAATTCTCTACAACAATTCGTGTGTAGACCAGAAACAAATCGTGATGGATAAAGTTTAGCGTTTCGCGGCACGATATTTTATCTTCGTTAATGCTTGTTTCCTTCATCATATGGACATTCTGTGATCGATAAAGAAATATTAAGAGATTCGATTGTTATATGATGATATATTCGAGATATAACAATATATATTGTTATATATTGTGTATAATGAACGCGATATGAAGAAAAGAAAAAAAAATGAATGAACTGTTATTATGATAAATATTGATAGAAGCGAAAGTCAAGAAACTAGAAAAGAGAAAAGAAACGATTCGTGTAAATGATTGTACGAACGTTTGTTGATTATACAACAAAAAGAAAGGGGAAAAAGTTAAAGAAAATAATAAGTGTCGCATTCGAATAAACTTGTACTTCTGATCGTTGCGTGCGCCACTATGTTGAGTCCAGATCTTTCGTCAATTCTTTTCAGACATTTTTTTTAGATTATTCTTTGTCCGTACATCGATCGACTAATTCGATGTACATAAGAGTAAAAGAATAATGAAAATATATTTAGCTTAAAAATTTGCAAAGAAGGAAAGAACCCTAAGAAAGACTTGATTCTGAGCTCAACGCTGGTTCACCGTGTGCGCGTGTTTCATTCAATTCGCTGTGAAATTTTTCATTCGCACTAGTCGTTAGGTCAATATATAATACCTATATTATACGAAATGTATATTAACGTTAAGATATCGGGCCTAAGTTCGTCGTAATATTAATGAAAGACAGAAACGCATATGTGTTATATATATATATGTATATGAATATGATTAATATTATAAAGATTAAAATCTGGCAATTATGATTTTCTTTCGAAACGACACCGATATGAACGCAGAAAAAATAGGTAAATCTTGAACGTGTCTTTCATTGATAATCTTTGTGTATATTATTATATTCTATGATTCCGTTCATAGAGTGATTCTCGTGTTATATTTCTTGTATATGTAACGTATTACGAACGCCATATATAAATCACGATTTATATATACTCTTTGCCCCGACTGAGACATGAGGAAATAGATTTTCGCGAAAAGTCCTTCATTTTTTAGATAATTAGAATGATGGGTCAGAAAACTAATATATAATAATATGAATATGTCGATAAATGAACGTCTTTCCCTTCAATGGTCAAAACAAAAGAAGAAAAAAAGGAAAAAGAGTATGAAGAGAAAATGAATCATGGTGTACTTCGGCAGTCCCCCTATTTCAAAACAACTATGTGAATTGTGTAATAAAAGCTATCCTATGATACAGTGCATTCACTCATAAGAATGAACATACACCCGATACATATATAAAATGATATACATAATATACATATGAAAATAAATAAATAAGAAAAATATATATATATATATATAAATATAAATATATATATATGTATATATATATATATGTTGTTGACTCCATTGAAAGTATGATAATATATTATGAATATTAATGAGAGTATAAGAAGGATAAGCATTAATTACAAAACTATTAAAAGAGAATAATTAATATAAGTGCGGAATGTAACAATAAAGGTCGTGTACCTCGTGAAAAATAAACTATATCATAAGTAAATTGATAAGTTTTTATCTATTAATCAGAGTTCCTTTTAACATATTAAAGCTCTTTATAAAAAAATATATATATAAAAAAAATTTTTTAAAAATAAAAAAAAAACCATTTTGAAACCAAAAGATGTAAATATTTGGCATGTATACTAAAAAAATGTAGTATACATGTATATAGTATACAATATTAATATTATTGTTTATGGAATTATATATTTGAATTAATATTTTTATGTTCAAATGCGAATAATAAAAAACAATATTTAAAAAATACATTATTTTAATAAGATGTACAATTAAAGGATGCATAAATATTGTTTCATTATTCTTATAATATGTTATAATGAATGAAGTAAATTCAAGTAGAAAAATCACAGAAAACATCTTGCTCGATAACAGTTATAATGTAATATTTCTCCACAATTTATTCACTGGCAATCTATTTACAATATATTCATTTTCGTCTAGTTCTTAAAGTTCGAGTTGTCATAGTTGGAGTGATAGTTTCTGTACTCTAAATAAACAAATGATATTTAAAATGTATAATATGAACATATATATATATATATAGATTATAGAAAAATTAAAAACAATTACCTCAAGTGGTTCTATATCTTGAAAAGATTCATCTCCTGTAACATATAATTTCTTTTTACGAGTACTTTTTTTTTTTTCCGAAACTTGTTCCGGAGGTGGCAAAATGGTACGTTTTGTACTTCGCCTAATAAAAAAATAAATTTTAATATTAATTAGTAATATGTGCAATTTTTGTACTTATATATTATTATATAAGTACAAAATATATTATATTATTATGTACTATACTTTGAATCAGAGCCAGAAAGATCGATCACTGAAATTTCATCTTGTTTCGGTGAAGACGGTGTAAATTTTTTTGGTGGTCGTCTCATTCGACGTTCTTTAAGTACTACTTCATCTTCAGACGTATTTCCACAATAGTCTCTTTCTTTCAAGTGATTCTTTGTTAACTACAAAAAAATAGTTATTAAATAAAATTCTTTGAATAAATATATTATAAATATATTATATTAAATTCCGTAATAAAGATACCTTTTGTTTTTGTTTTTCTAATTCTTCTTGTTGATTTTTTACTAAACTTTCATATTTTGACACCATCTCGTCCCTATTTTTCATAAATGTTTCCATTTCACGTTCCTTTTCGATTAAACTATTTTTTAATTCTTCGTTCATAATTCTTAATCTTTCGTTCTCCATTTGTCTCTCTTGAGTACTTTGTTGTAAAAGATCTAATATCTTGGCATTTTGTTCGTTATGTTTAACACGAATTTCTAACTGTTCAATATATTCTAATTTTTGAGAAAGCATATTTTTCGTATCAGTTAAATCCTTAATTGTATTTTTCATTTCTATTTCCATTAATTTATCATTTCTGTCATCATTTTCGTTTTTGTTTATCATATTCTTCATTTCTGTAATAATCAAAATATAAAAATTTTAAAATTTTAATATTTTATATTATAATATAAGATATTAAATCAAATATCAACTACATCAATTAAATCAGACCTTTCTGAAGAGAAATTATTTCAGCATCTTTATCTCGTTCTTTTTCCTCTGCTTGTTCTAAACGATCTTCGAGTTCTAAAATTCTATCATGATTTTCATCTAATAATTTCTGCAGTTGATCTTTCTCAACTTGACATATTTCTAAATTTTTATTTAATTCATAAATCTTTTCCTGAAGTTCAGTTAAACTTTCAACATTATGTTCTAACTCTAATATTTTAGCAGCATGTACCTCCAAACACTAGAATTTTATTTAAAAAAATTAAATTATTGAAAAAAAAAATATAGAAATTTATATGAATTTTTTTTCAATACCTGTGATTTGATATTATTTTTTTCAGTTGCTGATGAAAGTTCTTTTTTTAAATTACTTATGGTTTCTTCATGTTCATTTTTGCACTGTAATAATAAATAGATTATATTGATATGAAAAATGATAATTTCATCAATTCATATCATACCTTTGAAATGTGAGTATCAAAATCTGCTTGTAATATATTCAATTTCTGTAAAATATAACATGTCTATAAAATGTTTAAATTTGTATAAAATATTTTTATAATATAAAGAAAAATAACATACTTCCATGTATTGATTACAATCATTTTTAACAAGAGAAAGTTGTTGTTCAGTTTCATTTATTTGTTGTTCATAATTGTTAATTTTTGTTTCTAAAGAAACTTTAATATCATCAGTACTTTTTAATATTTCTTGAATTTGTATTTTATCTTTTTGTACCAAAGATAATTCTTTTTCAAGTAAATCAATTGTTTGTTTATATTTTTCTTTCTCAACTTTGCTTACATTATTTTCTTCTAAAAGTTTATCTATTTTTTCTTTTAACAGTATCATTTCTTGATCCACTTCTCTAAGTATCTTTAAAATAAAAGAATAATCATATAGAAATAAAAAAAAAATATTACATTTTATTTTTACATATTTGTTTATTATTATATTTATTATTATATTTTTACAAACCAGACATTTTTCTTCGTATTGTATCTTAATATCATCATATTTCACCATTAACTTTGCTAATTTATTTAAAATCATCTCATGATCATTAGTTTCTTCAATAAAACTTGTTTGATTAATCTTTTCTTTTTCCATATTCTCAATTGTCTGACTACTTTTATTAATCACATCATTTTTAGATATTTTAACGCAATGTTCGTCAGATTCCATATGTACTTGACAACCTATTTCTATTGTTTCAACTTTTACTTTGCATTCTATTTTATTTTCATTTTTGATTTTACATTGTACATTATTCATTTTCAAATTATATATTTGTTCAGATATATCTTTTAATTTAATTTTAGCACATTCCAATTCTATCTTTAAACTTTGTATTTCAGTTATACTTCGTAGTAATTTTTCTTTTAAAGTTGAATTCTCTTCATCTATTGCAATTATTTTTTCTTGTATTTGAGTATCAAATACATTTTCTGTATAATTAACAATAATTAAGTTAAATTAAAGTTAAAGTTAATATTATAATTTTAAATCAATATTAAAAATTTTTAATTAAAAATTACATACATACCTGTCTGTGTATTCTTATTATTTTGATTTGAATCTACAACTATTTCTACATTAAGATTAGAAGATACTTCTTTTATAGCAATATCTTGATCTTTATCTATTGAACATTCATAAGATTTTTTATAATCCTATAAAAGAAAGATTTATTAGATTTGAATAAGAAAAGTAGTTTTATATATTTAAAATATTATTGAATAATTAATAACATACATCATTTTCATATTCTAAATTTTGTTTCATATTCTTTTTAATATCAATTGTTTTTTTCAATAATTCAAATTCATCGAACAGCAATAATTTTTCATTCTCCAATTTATTTATTTGTTCTTGCATTTTATTTTCATAATCCAATATTTTTTTATTTTGATTATCCAATTTTTCTTCTAATTGATCAATTATTTTAATTTTTTCTGATAAACACATATTAATATGTGTAAGATTTGCTTCTAAATCATCTATTGTTTCTTGTTTTTCAAATAATTCCTCTTTTTGCTCTTTAATTTCATATTCTTTTTCTCTCATTTCAGTAGTAATAGAAATATAATCTTCTTTTGCTTCATTTAAAAATACTTTAAGTTTCTGAAACAATATAATTATATAATAAAAAAGATATATATCATGTAAATTATAAATATATTATCTCTATAATAATTATCATAAATACCTTAACTTGTTCCTGTTTTGCAAATAATTGAGATTTTAATTCCTCTATGTAATAATTTGTGTTTTCATCGGAGCAAATATCTTGCTGAGCTGCATTTAATAAATTTTTTATATTTTTTAGATCTTCTTTTGTTAAAGCGAGTTCAAATGTTGCGTTATTTTTTTCAACCATTAGAGTTTGATTTGTTTCTTTAAGTTCTTTCATATCAATCTTTAAAGAAACAACTTTTGACTTTAAATGTGAGTTTTTTATCTCTAGTTCTTCAATATTTCTTGAATAATCATCTGAATTATTAATACCAAGAGATGAACGTCTTCTTTTGCGACAACTAAGTTGATCCAATTTTTGTTTATAAAACTCTTCAACTTGTTTTACAGACCATTGAAGTACATCTTCTTGTTGCTGTTCTACATCTTTTATATGATTCCTAAATTACATATCATTATATTTAAATAAAAATCTTATAAAAAACAAAACAACAAATTTAATACATACTTCCATTCTATTTCAAGTTTTTTCATCATAGATGTATAAGTATCAGCCATTTCTTGACGTATTTGGAGATCACGAGTTAATGCAGAACTTTTTAAAACGGAAATTTCTTTCTTCAATCTCTCGTTTTCATTCATTAATTCATCATATTTTTCAAATCGAACATAATCAGATGTACTAATATCATCAACTGTGTTCTGCCATTCTATAAAAATAATATAAATTATGATATTGTATAATAAATATATACAAAATTATAAATTATATTATAAATTATAAAATTATTAAAATTATAAATTATATTATAAATCAAAATTAATTAAAAAATGGAAAACATACCTTCACTTTCCAATTCTGTAGCATCCCAATCAGTTACTGTTTTTATGCTTTGTGTAACTATTTGTGAAAATCTTGATTTATTTTTATGTACTTTTTCCTTTTCTATAACTATTTTCTTTGCAATTGCAGAAAAATTGAGTACATTTT